TAATATAATAAGTGTTTACTTCTGTACTTTACATAATATGGACTGACATTTGATACCATAGGAAAATTGTAAAAAAAATCAAAATTTAACAAACTTCAAAATGCTTTATGAACGTAACTACTGAATTAAAATAAGAGTATTTGGTATCAACATTTTTCTTTAAAATGGAACAAAAATGGGTTGTTTTGTACGCTCAAACTAATGGTTTTCAAACAGTAGCTGTTATATGTGACATGCTCGTGTGCGTATGTGCGTTATCCGCTGCAGCTATTTTATTGCTCATAGGTTGCATAGGGCAATACCGACTGCCTTAAAATAGTTACAATGCATACTTGATATTATACCTGTATATATGATATTAGATTATTTGCTTTTATCTTATTTGCAAACCTGTCATCATTACATAGTAAGAAACAAATTTTGTTGTTGTATTCCTATATAAGTGTCGCTAAAAAAATGGGGAGTCATAAAACAATATCTGGTGAGGTACGAATATATAAAAATAATTTTCATACACTTTCTTAGTTTCGATAGAAAACTGAGAAGGTATTAGTTTTACTATGATGTGTTTTTTGTTTGTGTCTATCCATATCTGTACCTACTGGACATTTATTGTTCAACGATACGCCAAAAGATCAAAAAATATATCTTGTTGATGTATTCAGCATTATCTTTTAATAATTTCTCTTTAAATCTGACACAAAAACGTGTTTTTCTCAGTCTCACACTATGTTATCAAACTAGATCTAACACTAAGTAACTGATGTTATGAATAAAATGAATTTTAAACAAATACAATAAAAAAAAGGAAATCATTTTTTTAAAAAAAGGTGGTCAGATTTGAGTGATAATGAGATATAACTTATATTTAATATAATACGAAGTGCTTAGAATTCATGAGATATAAGTGACATGTCAAAAAAAAAAATTATTTTGGTACACCATCAGACTGAAAATTAATAGTTCTTATTAGTAGAAAAAATTTGTAAATAAAAAACACATTATTGTAAAATCAAGATACCACTTCAGCTACACATGAAAATTAAAAAATAAATACAATATACATTATTTTGGTAGAATGTTTCCAATTCTCAAACTAACATTTTACTTGACATACCTCAAACAAGTAACGAGGAGAATTTAATAAATGAGTGAGTAATTTTTTCACGAAGAAAAATTTTTAAAGAAGGGCAAGGTTAAAATATAATTTATTAGAAACAAACATTTTTTTTTCTTTAGAAAAATTGGAGATGATAGTTTTTATGATTTTTTACCATTGTCACCCAGTGCACAAACTCTTGATACTTGTAAAAAAATTTCTTCAGAAGTTAACCAATTATTCAAAAAGAGTTAGTTTATTTTTTATAGTATTATTTTACAATGAAATTAATACACATATTTAACTATTTTAGGTATAATTTAAACAGTCGTAGAATAATAAATATTGAATATTTTTTTAATAGTTCGAAATCAATTAAACACGAGTTATTTGCTTGTAATTTTTCAAATCATGTATTTAAAACTGAAGTTCAAAGGGGTTTTTTTTCAGAATTTCACTTTGAATGTAATTTTTTGCAAAAAAAAAAGAAATTATTTATTCAGAGGATCCCAAATTAAATTATTCTCATAGTATAAATACTGCAGTTGTTACTGCTACTTTGAATACTAGTCAGGGGTTTACAAATTTAGAACAGTTTTCTGCTGTACTAAATATGCCATGTATGAGTAATAAGACGTATCAAAAATATCATGATTATATTGCTAAGCAAACTGAAAAAACTGCATGGGATTCGATAGAGTTAGCGGGGAAAGAAGAAACTAGGTTTGCTATTGAAAATGGATAAGTGAATGATAAAGGACTTCCCATAAGAACAGGCTTATAAAACTTAAATATTTTAGTGTGTAAATAATGTAATTTTGTAAATTGAATTCTTATAATTAAAATTAGTTTTTTTATAGTTTTATAACTTCAAAATAATCGATGTGGATCTCATATGATTTAACTTGTTTTCTGTAAATATTTAGTTTTTCTTAATCGTCGAAAATAAATAGTTTAATTATTTTTATAATCAATAAAATGTGTGAAATCATGACACGTCTATTAGTATTTACAGTGAGGCTGGTGTTAAACTATAGTTATTATACTACATAAAATAAACGTGTGTCGTTATCAACATAATCGTATTGAATCAAAAAGTAAGGCAGGTACACAACCGGTTTTGTTATCGACTATAACACGACGAAAATACTCCCAATAATGGACACTCACACTAATAATCATTTATTTCTCACACAACGACACTGCGTAACATGTAAAAACCACAAAATTGCCTATATTCGACCCCTGAAAAAAGGTCGGTACCCAGACGCCTTAAAAAAAATTTTAATAATAAAATTAATTTTTAAAATATTTTTTGTAATTGTGATAATTAATATAAAACATATTTTAAATATAGTTCTATATTAAAAAAACCCAGCACAGGGGGGTCGCGGCACAGTGGTGACGTGGCATAGTTGGATCAAGTATAATGATATCTGACAGTGATTAAAATCACTATAAAAAAAAAAAAACGCTTCGATGCAAATCTATAGATAGTGTTTAATTTAAAAAAAAAAATTTGTCAAAAAAGTAGGTCAAATGAGAGCTGAGAAAATAAATGATAGCTACAAAAAAAAAACACATAATAAAATAATATTAATATGAATTTCTTCTCACGAGAGGAAACTACAGTAATGGAATCCTTGATATTTATTGAAGTTATTGAACATAAATGAGATAAAAATCAAATGAGTTAAAAATTTTTTTTAACTCAAAAAGAATTAAAAAAAAATTCAGTGCCACAGTCGTGAAAGACCCAAGTGTTACCGTCTCAAAAACCGTACGTCTCATTCGTCACTTAATAAAAATGCAAAATTTAGCTAGTTCAAATTTTAAAGTGATTTTTCTCGACTTCAAAGAAACAAAAAAATTCAAATATGATTAATTTTTTATACTCTGTCATTTAGATTGATATGATATTTATGAAAATCATTGTAATCCCCTTATAATAAAATAAAATACAAAACCAAGAATTTTAACACAATAATAGCATATTTTTAAATACGGTAGTTATTTTCACCATGTATTCTCCTAATAAGATATTTTAAAATAAAATATAATACAAAACCTAGAATTTTAATAGAAAAATAGCATATTTTTGAATACGATAGCCATTTGCGCATAGAAGATAGGTCGTCGGGACAAATTTTTTTTTTCATTTTATAGTACATAATATAGCTTTAATTTGATATATGTTTAAAGGACACAGTATTTCCGGAACATTTTCAAAAATTAAGTTGAAAAAGTTAGTTTTTGTAAAAAAGTTGCTATTTTAAATCCCCCCTGTGAGCAGGTTAAGTGTTAGATTATCAAAAAAATGATATAGAATGAAAGGGAAATATCTAAAGTTTCAATAAAAAAAAAAAATTAAGTTGTTTTGTAAACTTTTAAAAAAGTTATGGAAGTTTAAAAAAAAAAAAAAAAGTGAAAAAAATGACAAAATTTACCGATTTTTAAATTTGTAATGTTTTTGAAGATTTCCCCATTCCCCGCAAATGGGGGAAAATTTTTCAATTTTTAAGAGTAATGTCTTCAACTAGATTTATGATCTTTTGACGTATTGTTGAAATAAATCGCCCAATGAGAGCTGAGATTGTGACTGAGGCAACAGACATAAAAAAAAATATATATATATATATATATATATTAAAATTAATACCTTCTCAGCTTCATATCGAAGCTAAAATTAAAAACACCGTAGGTTACTAATCATGACTAATCAATTTATGTTGGTCCCTTTAAGCTCATGAGCACCTAACTGGTCACTTCACTTAATCCAGTCCTGTGTATAAAACTAACAATTTTTGTAAAATTCTATTTTTTTTCTTCACTATCAAAATATCTAAGGTTTTATTAATTAATTTTGTATAAAAAATTCATTAGTGTGCTAAAAACACATTGAATAGAAAAAAAGATTGATTTCTTAAAATTTCTATTATTGTACATATTTTTATATGTAATTAAAATTTTTCTAATTAACAATATAGATGTTTTGTACATTACATAAAGCTTATATCTACTGAATATTTAATATATAACTTTACTTTGTCTTAATATAAAACAATAGTTTAAATTTATTACACTGGTGATTCTTTTAACATTAACCACTCAATTTCTCATAAAAAAAAATATATATATATATATGTATATTTTGTTATAAAATATTTTTTATGTTCATCCCTTTTATTTTATAAGTGTCAAAATACCTATTTAACTAGTTTATAAAATAGAAAATTATGGAATTAAGAAAATGACTTGTCAATAATAACTTTTGCATCATTATTTTACAATTAATAACAATTTAAAATATGACTGGAGGTAAGGAGTGGGTGCTGCTATTTTTATTACTAGACATATCTCAATCAACATCATACCTACATATAAAAATTAATGTGTGTTATAAATATTTTTATGTATTTACTTCTAAAATATTGATCCATAAGTTGTTTTCAATCAATTATTTTCTTAATTTCATCAATTTCTATTTTATAAGCTACTTAAATATGTACGTTTCCATTTAAAAAATATTTACATCCTTATATTTTTTAAAGGAAGATCATAAAAAATATTGTATAACAGATATATGGTGATACATATGTATCTAACAATAGCAAAAAAAATTATTATTTTAAGATATATTGAGTTGATAGTGTTAAAGAATCACCCTAAATAGTCTCTCACTAGTATATAAGGTACACAATTATCTTTGTATCTTTTAGGTAATAAATTGATTTTGTAAAAAATCCCTAAATATAAACCGCACTTTAAAAATGCCATATGCATATATATATATAAAATTTACATTTTTTTGATGCTAAAAATATTTCTTTTCTTTGAAATAGATTTGTAAGATTATATTTCAAATACATTACTCTATTTTATAATTTCTTTGCTTCTCTAGGTGTAAAATTTATGGTCATAGCAGATCCAACACATACAGGATTAGAACAACTTTTAAAGAAAATATATGAGCTTTACACAGATTTTGCTCTTAAGAATCCATTTTATTCTTTGGAAATGCCTATAAGGTGTGAACTATTTGATACAAATTTACAATCTCTGTTGGAACAAGCTGATAAAACTAATATAAATATAAATAATTGCAAATAATATTTAGTTGAGACATAATTTTATTTGGTATACATTACTTCATTGTTAACACATTTTTTAAATTGTTAAAAAATAATAAAAATTGTAATCAACAACAATGAGTTATTTAAATTATTTGTATGTAATATAAAAAAAATTGTTAAAGTAAATAAAATGAAAATATTATTGTATATATAATTAAAATTATTATTTATTTTATCTTTAATGCATAACTGAAAAACTATTGGTTTCATTCTGCTATGAATTTTTTATGTTCATATACGTAGTTACTCCCCTCTTACTAAGCTGAGTTTGCACAATGACAATACATAGTATACTACAGTTAATAATTAGTCAATTCAAAATAAAATTATTTTACATTAATTACTAAATTTTGAATTTATTTACTTTCTTAACTAATCAATTACATTGTATTTTCAAAGTAATTTAAAATTTGTGACATACAGAAATTCAAGGAATATAAGTCACATTTAAAAAAAAAATAAAAAGAGTTAGATCTACTGTCAGTTTAAAATATAAGTTTTTTGAAAATTAGTTCGATTCAATAAAAAAAAATTCAAGAAATTAATATACAAATCATGAAAAAATAATTTTTTTTTACATGGTATGTTCTTTGGAGAACAAAAACTTTAAAATTAATTTGCTCAAAATTAAAAAAATAAACTTGCATTACTCCTGGCATTCTAAGTGTCTCATTCATCAATCATTAATGCTAAAATTCCAATTTGGTATTAAAACATTGGTGTTTCCAATCTTCATCTACTTTTGTCCATTCATTATATTCTATATCTCCATTATGATCTATTAGAATTATAGTATGTGTTCTAAAACAGGAAAAATAAAATTAAAAATAATAAAATAATAATATACATGTATGTTACCTTGTTCCATATTTCAAATGTGGTATTTCAACAAAAACTGAACTAAAATATTTGTAATCAATACCTGAATATTTAGGTGCATGTTGAATCAAATTTTCATCAAGAACGTGTCTGTAAAAAAAATGAATTTAAATACATAAAAATTATATTTTATGAAACAATTTTTTTTTTAAATACATCTTACTGTTCATTCCATTTTAAAAGATCTAATAATTCTTCAATAAGTTTAAGTTTAGTAGTATTTTTCCCATAACTTTTTACAATAGTATTAAATCGTTTTTCTCCTTCAGAAACCTTTTGAAATGCTTCATTACCATATCCTTTAACCCCATCTGGAATATTTGTCATAACTGGATGATTACTTGAATCATCATTAGTCAGGAGATAAGTTTCTATAGATGACATACTATTTTTACATAAAAATTAAAAAATAAATAATTAAATCAATATAAATTTATTTTGTTTACTTTATTTCTATCATTATTAATTTAAAACCATTATAAACATCTTTTAATGATTCTACATAAATTGGAGCTTTAACATCAGATTTTATATAATTTTCAACTAATCGACCTCTAGATTGTGCATTTATTTGATTTGATAATTGAAAAATGTTCAACAAAGTACAAATTTTTCCTTTGATATTAAGTGCCAGCCATGTACCACCTTTACTAGATAAACTTATATCTCGTCCTAAGATAGTTATTAGTTATTACATTAAAATATAATAAATCATTACTAATAATTTCAAATAGTCACCACCAATAATGTTTGAGTTTTCCAACCAGTAATTAGCAGACAATGTTGGTCTACAATAAAACTCGTCTCGATTAGATGCTAATATTAACCTATATCCTTCTTTTTGATGTTGAATACTACTAATGAAAACTACACACATTTTTTAAAATTACTATTTCATATCACACTGAAAATTTAAATTTACATTGTATCTGTATTAGTGTAGATATTTTACCTTAAATAATACTATTAGTAATAACTAACAAAAATTCAATAGATATATATAATAATAATTAAAAAAAATACTTCAGATCAAAGGTTAAACTCAAACATTAATCTACAATTAAGGTATGTAGTATGTTTTAATTGTTAACACCTATGCCATTTGTCCAACTGATAATTATTACGAACATCAGATGTTATGATATGATTCTGATATCGTAGGTTACCATAACCACGACGGTTTTACTCCGACATTATCGATAATCAAACATTTTGAGCTTCGATGCGCTGTTGAGAAGGTATTAATTTTACTATGATGCGTTTTTTTTTTTGTCTGTTACCACTTTTTCTCAGCTCTCACCAAACCAATTTCTTTCAACGATACATCAAAAGATCACAAATCGTATCTAGTCGAAGACATTACCCTTAGGCTTGGTTCACATGACTGCGCGTATACGCGCGTCAGTTAATCACGTAACGCGATTATGATCATTCAAATGTACGCGCTAACACGTGCATCAAACTCGAAATATTTTGATAATATGTAATTGCACAATGAATCGCAATTTTGTTGTAAACGCGCGTGTCAACTGAACGGTCCGTATCGTAATAATAATAATTCAATTTGCAGTATTACGCGCCAAAATAGAAACTTGCGTCATTATCGCGATCGACCGGCGCATACGCGCGTCCATGTGAACCTATCCTTAATAATAGAAAAAAATTCTCTCGTTCCCCGTAAATAGGGGAAATCTCTAAAAAAATTACAAATCTAAAAATCACTAATTTTCGACATTTTTTCAATTTTTTACTTAAAACTGCCAGAACTTTTTTAAAAATGACCAAATCAAAATAATTTTTTTTTTTATAGATGCATGATGTCTTTACCTATCATTTGATATATTTTTTCTAAAATTGACACTATTTTCTATGGGTTACGGAGATTGCCACGAACCCGAAATGTATCCGACTTTTGATAAAATAGGTACATAAAGGTAAGAAAGGGGGCTTTGAACTAATACAACCCGTTACATAACTGGTGTGAGCCCTTTGGAGGGGAAAGAAGAGCGATTCCAATTTTCAAACGTAAAATCTTTTTTACCTCTCCTTATTAGTGCTTATTATAACATTATAAGCACATTAATATTATAACATTTAATTAGTTTAGTTAAAAAATATAGGTGTACGTTTCACTGATGATAGGATTCGTCATTAAACAGATGTGTTTATAAAGATATTCAGTATCTCATTCTCTGAAACTGTCATTACAATTAGTCTCATATGAAATCAAACAAAAAAACCCAGCACAGGGGGGTCGCGGCACAGTGGTGACGTGACATAGTTGGATCAAGTATAATGATATCTGACAGTGATTAAAATCACTATAAAAAAAAAACGCTTCGATGCAAATCTTTAGATAGTGTTTAATTTTAAAAAATTGGTGGATTATACCAAAAGCAACATGATCTGCTAGTTCGTTATTAATATCCTGATTCAGATAAAGTATGTCGAATGAAAAAGGGATTATTAAAAAATACTACTCCTCATGAAAAAATTGTACTGATCCATACATTTTTCAAAAAGTTATAGCATAATAAAGTTAAAAATGTGAAATACAAAATCGAAAATTTTCACACAAAAATAGCATTTGGTAGCCTTTTTCACCGTGAAGATAAAATAAAGTCCGAAATTTTTTTTTTGCATAATAAAGTACATTACATTAACTTTAATTTAAGATATATATAAAAGTGTCAGACTTTCCGGAACATTTTCAAAAGTTAATTTTTTGTGAAAAAGTTGTCATTTTAAATCCCCCTTGTGGACAGGTTAAGGGTTAAATTTATGAAAAAAATATACTAAATGAAAGGTAATGATATTATGCATCTATATAAAAAATAGTTATATTGATATGTTCATTTTTGAAAAAGTTATAGCACTTTTAAGTAAAAAAAATTGAAAAAATTTCGAAAATTAGCGATTTTTAAATTTGTATTTTTTTTGGAGGTTTTCCCCATTTACGGGGAACGAGGGAATCTTTTCCAATTTTTGAGGGTAGTGTCTTCGTCTAGATACGATTTGTGATCTTTTGACGTATCATTGAAAGAAATTGGTTCGGTGAGAGCAGAGTAAAAGTGGTAACAGACACAAAAAAAAAAAATAATAAAAAAATAAACACATCTTAGTAAAACCAATACCTTCTCATCGAAGCTAATATGATTTAAAATTATTTCATTGTTCAAAGGTGGAAAACGAAATTAATTCAGTCCAGTTTGGATTTGGCCGCAATCTGGAGAAACTTGAGGGGGCTTTGTCTCCTAAAATTCTGCCATAGAATATACCGAAAATGAATTAATTTGTATTTCTTGTTGTATGGCAGGCATGATCAACGTGCGGCCCGCGACACTGTTCTATGCGGCCCATAGTTTAATTTAGAGTTTGAATAAAACAGTAGAAAAATTTGTTAAATGCTTTATTTCAAATATGTCAGAAAAAAATTCAAATACAAAGTTAAAATCAGTGTGAAACTTGAGGTTGTTTTTGTAGCGCCAACTTCTTGATGTCAGGTTCAAATTTTGTAGTGGCAGCCCTTAGTAAGTAATGAAGATGATCATCTGTAAGGCGAGATCTTTCTTTGCTTTTGATACATTTTATCCTTGAAAATGTTTTTTCATACAGATATGTTGAGCCAGTTTTTTTAATTCAGGAAAATTTTCGTCGTCAAGATTTTTGTAAAAGTTTGGTAAATTCTTTCGATTTTCTTCGTACAAGTCCTTTTGTAAAGTATTAGTTTTCAGTTCTATTATTTCCATTTGAAAATTTTCCTGAACTACAGCTTCATCCATCTGAAAAGGATTTTCAATCAATCGAAACAACATACTTTGTTCTTTAAGTTTTTTAAACCGTGTATGAAAATCCGTTTTTAATTTTTCCAACAAGTCTACAAATTTTACTGTTGAAAAATTTAAAAAATTCTTTTCTTGTATTTTTTTACAGCAATTAAAGTGTATAAAATTGTTATTTTCAATTTGTCTACTAAATAGATTTAGTTTCAGCTCAAAAGCGGACATGATATTTAAGAGTTCAAATATGAATTTACCCTGTGNATTTAAGAGTTCAAATATGAATTTGCCCTGTGTCTGTAGTTTTAAATTTAAATCATTGCAGTGACTAGATATGTCGGTCAAAAAGGCTAAGTCCCAAAGCCACAATGAATCAGAAAGTTGAACGAATGTTTTTCCTTTCTCCGTCATAAAAATCTCTATCTCAGCAAGAAGATTAAAAAAGCGTGATAATACTTGGGCTCGGCTTAACCAACGTATCTGGTTGTGGTAAAGAACATCGGAAAATTCACTCCCGACTTCTTCCAAAAATGCTTGGAATTGCCGATGATTCAAGCCACGAGAACGAATAAAGTTCACAATGTCTCTAACAACATTCATGACGTGGTCCATTTTGAGTATTTTGCAACGTAACGCCTGCTGGTGAATAATGCAATGAACAGGCAATGGCTGTTCTAAATTTTGAGTGGCCATTTGATGCAAAATTTTTGTGACTAATCCATTTTTTGAACCAATCATGCTTGGTGCACCATCCGTTGTTAGTCCGCAAAGATTTTTCCAATTTAAATTCAACTTTGTTATGCACTGCAAAACTTCTTCAAAAATGTCATCTGCAGATGTGCGGTCTTTTATGCTCTGTAAAGATGTAAGCTCTTCAGTTATTGTAAATTCTCGATCTATTCCCCGCACAAAAATGAGTAATTGCGCTGTATCACGATTGTCCATGCTTTCGTCCAAAGTCAAGGAAAAAAAAGAAAACTGTTCTGCTTTTGTTTGCAACTGATCTTGTAAATTTTTACCAATGTCTTCTATGCGACGAGTAATGGTGGGCCGAGATAGACTTATTTCTTTGAATGCAGAGCATTTCTCAGGAGCGATTTCTTCAATAGCTGCGATGATGCACTTTTTAATAAACTCGCCACTATTAAGCGCTTGTTGGTCTTTCGCAATAAGATTTGCAATCTTATAACTTGCTGTAACGATATCGTCCTTTCCTTTTACTTGTCGCGAAAACATACTTTTGACAGCGCTTGTCTCGTCCGCGAATTTTTTTTTGATAACTCCAATTTAGATTCGCGAGCCTTATCTTTAATACTTTCATATTTTGATTTGTGTTTGGTTTCATAATGCCTCTGTATAATTAAATTCTTTATAAACAGCCACAGATTCACGACAAATAAAACAAGTTGGTTTCTCGTTGAATTGAATGAAAAAGTATTTATACATCCAAATGTCCTGAAAAAGACGATTTTCTTCGGAAATTTTACGTATTTTTTTTTTTGTTTCAGACATTTTTATTAGAGTATTTATCACAGAGCTAAAAAAAATTATTTTTATTACCAATCATTCAATGCACTTAAATATCACTTTCACTGGAATATAGTCGCTTTCACATTATAAGCAGGAAACTAACTGACTCAAGTGTGCAAAGGACACATCAATTAATAGTAGGCAAATGTTTGTGTTTATATTTATTTATAGTATCAATGTTTTCTATCACCTTTAATCCCGCTCGTTTATGACCATATTTGGTAATGTTTACAATCTAAGTAGGTTTTTGATAATGTTTACAATAAAGGTAGATTTTAGATAGATAACACATTTAATAATGTTTATAATATGGGTAGATTTAAGTTAGATTATTAAAAAATTTTCAAAATGTGAATTTTCATAGATATGCAGCCCGTCTAAGTTTTGCTGAAATGACAAATGGCCCGTAAACTTAAAAAGGTTGCTCATGCCTGTTGTATAGAAATATTTTTTAGATTAGGTAAAAAATTATGTAATTAGACTTCCCAAATATTTTGTTGCAATACTCCTTCGCTCTAGTCAAATTAAGTAAACACAAGGCAGTTATAAGTTAACAGTGGACAATAGTTTATGATTAATCATAAACTTACTTAAATCTTCTGTTAAGATAATTAGTTTTAAACTTAACTAACTCGATTAAAAAAATACAGTCAATTCATTAAATAATGGTTGAGTTTTTTTTTATTTGCATTATGATTATTTGAAGTTTTGTCAAATGTACGTATAGAGTTAAATATTTTAATTTATAATCATAATTGATAATCCAACAATTATTCATTTTTTCTGATTAAATGGAAATCAAATATAATAATGTAATATTGAAACTGTACAACTTTTTTTATAGGACATATATATATAATTACATTTTTACAAAACAATACATTACATTACGTGATTTTATTTTGAAAATTAATTTTTATTTTTTAGCTTCGATGCGAAGCTGAGAAGGTATTAATTTTACCATGATGTGTTTATTTTTTTTTTTTTTTT